GGGCATGGTGAGGAGGGACGGCTCGTCCTGACGGACAGCCCCTGCACTCCCCCTTCCCCTCCACAATGGTATGTGTGGGTGGGAAAAATAATTCCAGCTATTTCTCTTTTATCGCCCGGAGCCGGGCTGAGCGGCAGAGAGTTGTGTTTGTGGTAGATTGCTAGGAAGGAAGGAGGAGAAGTTGGGGTTTGGGATGGCAGCCCTGTCAGATGGGGGTCCTGCCCCCCGTGCTCAGCCTGCCGGTGACATGGCAGAGCTCTGTGGTGGCACTGGGGCTGCAGCAGGGCTGGTGACACTTGTCCCGTGTTGGGGACGTTGGGAATGTGGCTGTCACCTTGCTGCTTGGGCACGCCGTGGGCTGGTGAGATGCTCGGGGTAGTTGGGATGGTGTCAGTGTGGGTTCAGGGTGGGCTGGGGGCATTGCTGGAGCAGATTAATGTGTGTCTGCCCCTAAATCTGCCACATCACTGAAAGTTTTTGTTAGGGGGTTTTCTGGTTGTATCCCTAATGATCGACGCTGCCACCCCATAGCAAACTCAATGCAGCACAGAGCTGTGGGGTCAATCATGTCCTGGCAGGGAGGGCACCCGTTCTGTGCTGGAATGAAGTGTGATGGCATCTCCTACCACAGCAACCACTATGGTCTGCTCGAGAAGGGAGCTCCAAGCTGCCCGCGTGCAGCCATCCTTCTCCTCCTGCTCTTCCCCTTGGCACCGCGCCCCATGCGTTGGTGGGATGCAGGATGGGGACCCTTTAGGATCGTGGCCCCATCCATCTGTGGGACGCAGCAACGCCCTGAAGGCAAACCCAGCTGTCGGGACGCATCCTGCTGGGGCAGGGCACCGCAGCTCCCTGGGGTACGGGGGCACAGCGTGGCATGGCCGGTGCCAGCACAGCTGGCGAGCGGAGCCTCGTGCCCTCCTTTCCCCACCCTCCCTCCCCCCCCCCTCTGCCTGCTGTGCTGCTCAGGGTAGGTAACAGCTCCTCCATTAACCGGGGTCAGAGTTCAGCACGATAAAGATTTGCTGTTGTACCGTGGCAAAAGAAAAAAAAAAAAATCAATAAATGGTGAGCGATGGTGGGGAGCGATAAGGGCAGAAGAACTCTTCCCCCCCCGACCCGGGCAGCAAGCAGTTTTGCACCAACCCCCCCCCCTAACGGAGCCCAAAGCTACAGATCTGAGCCACCAGTGGGGTCGGGGCTGTCCCATAGTGGCCTGGGATCAGTTGGAGAGGGGTGAGAGCCTCCAGAGCCCCCATCCTCGCCTGCTCTAATTTAAGCCCCGCTCACTCTTTTGTTGTTCCCAAGGCTGCCCTGATTACTCGAGCACCCGGGACGGCAAAGCCGGGATAATCTCCTTAGCCCCTTTGGAGAGATTTCCCTTTGTGAGCGGAGGTGAAGAGTGGAGATGCTGCGTGTTTGCAGCTTAAGACTCTTCCCAATCGGCTCCCTCCATCTTATCGGCGCGGTGCCATCACATCATTGCGCTAGTTGAGTTGTCAGGATTTATTCCTTCCGCCGCACGCGCTCACGGCTTCGGAAAGCAGCAGCGGGGGGCTCGGGGGCTCCGCTTCCGCGCTCAGATCGCGTTTCCTGGGCTGGGAGGATGGGTAGATTGGTGGATAGGTAGATGGATGGATGGGCAGATGGGTCGGTGGACAAACAGGTGGGCAGGTGGGTGGATGGGCAGATGGATAAACAGGTGGACAAATGGCCGGATGAATGGATGGATGGACAGGTGGCTGGATGGATGGATGGATGGATGGACAGATGGCTGGATGGATGGATGGGCAGATGGGTGAATAGATGGACAGATAGATGGGCAGATGGATAGGTGGATAGACAGATGGACAGAAAGGATGGAGAGGTGGGTGAACAAATGGCTAGGTGGATGGATGGACAGATGTAAGGGCAAATGGGTGGTCAGACAGGATGAATGGATGGATAGATAGACAGACAGACAGACTCGGCCTGCCCTTCAGGGATCCCCAAGCCATGGGCTGGGCTGGATCTGTTTGGCCCTGTGTTTCAGGCATCACTGAAGATGTCTTATTTCCACTCTATCCAGGATGTCTCATTTTGGTGTATTTGGGGCATGAAGGCCCCCAGTGACCCCCAGACCTGGCCCTGGGGGCTGGGACACAAGTATTAATAGGAGTGATGCATGGTGCTGGGAAGCAGTCCCATGACTCCCTGATAGCAGTATTTATCCAGATAGTATCCAGGCAGCTGCAAACACTCCGAGTCCTCAAATCAGAGATCCTGTCCCAGGGCAGATCTGATGCATTCAAATTTGATTAAAGTCTCACGGACACCCGTTGGGCAAGGGACGTGGGAGCCTTTTGGGATGGGACCAGCTGGGCAGCCCTCGTCCTTCCCTTCTCCTTACTCCTGGAGGAGAAGTGCCTGTGTCACCTTGTGTCACCCCAGGTCACCCTTTGTCCCTTCCTCTCCAGGACCCCGTCAGCCCCCAGGTGCAGGTGGCAGCCAGCCTTTCTCTTTCATTTATCAGCTGATAACCAGCAGCGGGGCGATGACAGGATTAATCTTTGCTCTCCAGCATAGCCTGGGCCATTTCTTTGAAATCTCGATGGGGAGATAAGCTGGAGCACAGCGCCGGGGGGAGAAGGAGTTGCCAGCCCTATGGCAAACACCGCAGCGTGGGGACGTGTCCCCAAGCTGTGCCTCCTTGTGATGGGGCACTGGGGTGGATGCTGGGATCCTACGCAGCTCCTGAGTAGAGGCACCCGTTGGAACCGAGCTTTGTGGGTTGGGGTGGTTGTTTTTTATTTTCTCTTTCCATGCTTTTTGGTGACCCAAAGCACACCGCCCCATCCCTGCCCCGTTTGGTTAATCATCTCGGAGATGGGAATTCCTGCATTATCGATGTGGTTCCACCTCACCGGGACCCGATGGTGAGATTAGATAAAGGCCTGTGTCACCCCACGGGGTGGTGACACCGAGCAGCGGTGGCAGTGTGGGGTACACAGACTTTGCTCCTTGAGGCCACCGTCCAGGCTGTGTGCGCGTCGGTCACCTCGAGCGTCCCCAAGGGGTGGCACTGCTGCGTGCCACGTCCCCGTTGCAGTGCTTTGAGCACAGGGCTTTTTTTCCTCCTCTCCCTCTTGCTGGGTGCTGTGACAAGCACGGGGACACAGCTGGCCACCTCCCTGTCACCCCGTGTCCCCATGGGGGGGGGGGGGATCTAATAGCATCCCCATTAAGCACAAGCAGCAGACCCGGCTCCAGGCAGCACCATCCCCACGCTGAGTTTTTGGGGGTGCCAGCAGGCAGCCCATGCTGCTGTGTGCTCCACGATGGGGCCGACTCTATTTTTGTCCCCCAGTCTGGAACGGTTTTCTCTTTATCAGCGCCTGCGTGTTTTCTCTGCTGGGGATTGATACACAGAAGATGAAGTGCTCTGACATGGGAAGTGTCAGGCGAACACGCTTATCTCACAGACATGGTCTCCTGACCCAAACGCTGCTGATTACCACAGAGATGGGGGGAGGGGGGCAACAGGGGGGCAGTGCTGGGGTGTGTGGGGGGTGGCAGTTGGGTTAGGATGGGGACGGCTTCCATGAGAGAGCAGTTGGGCTGCAGGGTGGCAAAGGCAGCGATGAGCCAGAAATCCCCCCTCCAGCCCATAGGGAATCTGGGCCCTGGGGAATGGACCTATAGGCTCTCCCAGCTCTCTTCTCCCCTCCTTCCATCACACTGTGATCTGGAAGGATGATAGGGGGCAGGGGACAGAGAGAGCCTGAGGTGCCAGCACGTGGCTGGGTGAGCTCTCGTCTTCCCCCACCCCACACACAGCACCTGATGCTCACCTGGAATAACCCCAGCACAGAGAGGATCCAGATGTCAGCCCAGCTAATAAACACATCAGATTTCAATCTCGGCAGCCATGGGATCATTTTCTCCTCCCCACGTTTCTAACCCTGAAAGCAATTTGCCTTCCAACCAGCGCAGCCTTCTCCCTGCCTGTGGGACCTCGGTGCTTTGCAAAGCCCTTTAGAGGATGCGACACCGATGTCCCCCATTGTGCTGTGGTGGCAGCAGGGACTGTGACCCAACACATGTGATGGCTTTAGGAAGATCCCAGCATGGGGCTCGTGGCAGCTTGGTGTCCTCGCAGAGCATCCTCACGGCACGGAGCAGCCAGAGCGCATACATCCCAGTATTGGTTACCTGCCATCTTATCTGCGCTCCGAAAGACAAAGGCACAGTTAAAACATTTTAGAGCAGCCTTCATAGTGTATTAACATGTTATCTAACCCATTAAACCAGAGCCTTATCAGATAATCAAAGCCATTAAGCCCTGAAGCCGCTGCGACTTTGGATGCGGGGATGGGAAGCGCTCCTTCCTCTCTGCTGCACCACGGTGTGCCCAGACCCCCAGCACTGGTATGGAACCACCAAGCTGGGCACCTGCGGGTTTCCATGGCCTGGGAACTGCAGTACCAGTGTTTGGGGAACCCAGGGTGATGGGATTTTCCCAATACCTGCGTAGAACCTTCTTCTTCTTCCAGGCACGGATGGGGATGGGGATGGATGGGGACGGGACCGACTGACTCCATCCTTCTCCTTGCAGATGAACTGGAGCTGGTGGTGCAGGATGGGGAGAGTCGGGTGCGAGCCCGACAGAGCCTCCCTGAAGGCTTCTCTTGGGGACCCTTCCAGGGCAGCATCCACAGTGAGCCAGCATCACCAGGACACGGCGAGGCGGTAAGGAGCACTTATAGGAGTGGGAAAAGCCCTGCAGCAACGATGAGCAAAGTTGAGGAGAGGGATTTCCTGGGAAGGCATTTTCCCTGTGCTGAGCTTTGGGACTGTATGGGATCCCCTGGCTGTTTTTGGGTGCCCTGGGACAGCAGCACTGGTGAGAGGCTGGTGGTCCCCCTGGCAGTGCAAGTGGGCTGTTGGCAGGTATGTGTCTCTCACAGAGATGGGTCAGTGTGCAGGAGGATTTGGGGCACAAAGGGAACCTCAGGGATGAGCAGGGGTACAGAGAGGGGCTGGGAGCCTTTGGGAAGGATGGGTTTCTGCTGGTTTTGGGCACCACTGCTGGAGTTTCACGTTGCAGAGCTGGGACCAGCAGAGGCTGCTGGTGGCTCGTGCTTGCTCTGTCAGTGCGGGTGGTGTGCATGGGTGTGCAGGGATGCATGGAGAGGCTGGGGCCCCACAGACGTGCTCACACATCCTTCCCCTCCTTGCAGCCATGCAGGTCAGCTCCAGCCCAGGGGCTCCGCAGCCAGGATCTCAGCTTGGCTCCATCCCCACTCCTCCTCCTCCACTCTCCCTCACTCTTTTTTTTTTTTTTTTTCTTCTTTTTTTTCCTCTTCTTTTTTTTTTTTTTTAAGCTCAGGCCCGTTTATCTTTGCCGAATTAAATCCTTGATTAACCCTTATCTGCCCAGTTTGGCTCCATATCTCCCGCTTGGCGCCGTGTGTCCAGACACCCGGTACAGGATGATTGATTCCTTAAAGATATGCGCGGCTTTTTTTCTGATACTTCATTTATTGTCTAAATATTTTTGCTCCCATTTCAGCAGCTCCCTTATCGAGGCGGGCTGATGATTCCCAGCCCTGCTTTCCTCCGCCGCTCGCCTCCCTCCTATCTCTGCCTGGGGAAGCGAGGAAGGAATCGCAGCCCCATCCCTGATACGGGCTGTCGCCCTCGGGTCCCTTCGCATTGTTGCTGGCGGCGGGGGGAGATAGAGGGGGCCTCCCCCAGATGCCATCTTGCAGCTGGACGTCCAGCCATACACAGGTTTTAGTGGGAATCGGGGACATGGAGTGCCTTTGGTGCATGAGGAGCATCGCTCGCGCTCCCTGCTGCATGATGGCCCTGTGGCTGAGGTGATGGAGGAGGAGGAGGATGCCTGCTGCATCCCCAGAGGGGATCCCGCAGTGCTCTCCAAAACTCCATCGCTCAGGAGGGTTTGCAGACCGCCAGTGAAGGGATGCAAGGGGAACTCGGTGCCCATCCCATTTCCCCCGAGGAAGGATGCCTGCTGGGGGGAGCTGCCCTGCTAACACCAGCCCGGGCGGATGCAGAGCAGATAGAGTTTCTGATGGTTATCAGGGCCAGTTCGGCACGGAGACACTGACCTCTTTGTTCAGGGGAAACAAGGAAGGTTCTCAGCATGGGCTGCAGACGGGCAGCTGCTGCTATGGCTGTGGATGGAGTGGGAGCACCCGAGGGTGCTGCAGGGTCCTGGATGCCACAGGGAGCTGCATCTGCTTGGGTACCCAGTGCACAGAGCCAAGCTGCTCCCCAGGGCAACTTCCTGCAGGCTCAGCGCTGCGTGTGCACTGGTGCAGTGTGCACGCGTGTGTGTGAGCCCCTGTGTGTGTGTGTGTGTGTGAGCTTTATCACGCTGCGAGCACTCAGCTCCTCGCAGTGATAAGGCCTAAAACCGGCTGTGACTGTCAGTCTGAGTTGGAGGGTTTAGAAATATTGGGAGGAATAATTAGATTTCATATCGTTACCGCGGCAGCCATCAGAGGATCAGGCAGATTAATTTCCAACCCTCCCCCCCACCCCCCCACTCCCATCCTTGCTCATTAATATTCATTAGAGATGCAGGGAGGCAGCACAGGGTGCAGCACTGGCACGGGCATGCCAGTGTCCCCTGCTGTCCCCTGCTGTCCCACGATTGCCACGAAGACCCTGATGCTCACCTGTAGCCCTCCCTGCCCACAGCAGAGCCCACCCGTGACGCTGGTGCTGGGGGATGAGAGCTGCTGGCTGTCCCGCCTGCCCCTGGTGCCCGGAGAGCCCGATGCCAACGCTGTCATCTACAGGAAGGGTTGGTACCTGCGCTGGGGTCAGGGGTTGGCACGGTGATGATGGGGGCTGCATTGGTGCAGAGATGGCTGCAAGTCTTGTTGCGAGCGTTAGTGCAGGTAGTGGTGCAAGATGCAGTGCAGTGCTTTGTGTGAGTGTTACAAATGCTGGTGCAGCGGCCATTGGAAGCCTTGCAAGCATTGGTGCAGGATTCAGCACAGCGCTCAGTGCAAGCATTGGTGCAGGCACTGCTGCAAGGCTTAATGCAGACGTTACTGCAAGATTCAGTGCAAGCAGTATTGCAAGTGTGGAGCTGTGCCCATCAGGCGTGGGCTGACACTGCCACCTCCAGGCGAGCCCAGGCTTTGCCACGGGGGAGGGAGAGCACCCAGGAGCCGGGAGCAGGGCTGGGCACCAGGCTCCAGAGGTGTAATGCTGACCGCTCGCCTTTCGTGCCCCCAGATGATGCCGTGTGGTGCAGGACCACACGTGCCGTGCAGGAGGATGAGCCAATGTGCGCCTTCGTGGTGGCTGAGCCAGCTGCCATCCCCAGGCAGACAGTGAAGGCAGAGCCTGGAGACTCACCCTACCCGGCTGCGCTGCACTCCGACATCCAGCTGCTGCCCCAGCAGGCGGGCATGGCTGCCATCCTGGCCACTGCCGTGGTGAACAGTGAGTGCTGGGGTGACGCTGGGGGAGGGGTCCCCAAGGGGATGCCCGTCCTCATCTCTGTGCTCATCCCATCCCCTGGCATCCATCCCTTCCCTTTGCAGAGGATGTCTTCCCATGCAAGGACTGCGGGATCTGGTACCGGAGCGAGCGCAACTTGCAAGCCCACCTGATGTACTACTGTGCCAGCCGGCAGAGCGCGGGCTCACCTGCTGTGGATGAGAAGCCCAAGGAGACGTACCCAAACGAGCGTGTCTGCCCCTTCCCCCAGTGCAAGAAGAGCTGCCCCAGTGCCAGCTCCTTGGAAATCCACATGCGGAGCCACAGCGGTATGGGCATGGCATGACATGGCACAGCCTGGGGACAGCAGGGACCACAGGGGAGCCAGCCAGCCTGCCAGAGGCACAGGGAGGCTGTGGGTTGCTTGCAGCCAGATGAGGGTCTTCCCCAGTTAGATTACCGATCTGGGGCAGCGCCCTGCAGGCTGGTGCTCACCTGCAAAGCCAAAGATGGAGCAGGCGTAGCTGTGCTGTCCCCATGGTCCCTGTCCCTCAGCGTTGAGGTGTCCTTGTGTCTGCCTTGCAGGGGAGCGTCCATTTGTCTGTCTGATCTGCCTGTCTGCCTTCACCACCAAAGCCAACTGCGAACGTCACTTGAAGGTGCACACGGACACCCTCAACGGTGAGTTAGCACTGCCTGGTGTGCCCATAGGGGATAGCAGCACCAGGGGATGGGAATGACAGGGAGAGATCCTGCGGTGGGACCCACGCCCATGGGTCAAACCCACTTTGTGTCCTTTGCAGGGGTCTGCCACAGCTGCGGCTTCATCTCCACCACACGGGACATCCTCTACAGCCACTTGGTCACCAACCACATGATCTGCCAGCCGGGCTCCAAGGGAGAGGTGTACTCACCAGGGCCAGCACTGCCAGCTGCCAAACCCCTCACCCCTGGTGTGTATGGGACAGGGTTCACACACCAGCCCCCCTAGTGCCACTTGGCATTGCCCCAGCGAGGGCTGTGTCCCCCCATGGCTCCGGATGTGGGGTGGGATGCCACTAACACCTCTCTCTCCTTGGCAGGGTTGAGCCAGCCGAACAATGCACCTGTGCTGAAGTGCAGCCTGCCTGCCTTCATACCCGAGGGGCTGCCAGCCCTGCCACAGCACGTGGTGCTGCACGGCCCCCTACCCACCGTTCTGCCCGGCCCAGATGCCACCCCACAGCCCGCATCACCCTCGGATACCACCACAGGACCCACATCCTGTGAGGCGCAGAATGGTGAAGCCCCAAGAGAAGGTCAGTCCTCCTCCTCCGGCGAGCCCATCCGCATCAAGGAGGAGCCAGCTGACAGCCCGGCTGGGAGTGAGGCGGAGGAACCCAAAAGCGGGGAGGCCGCTGCTAGCCCCAGCTCAGAGCCAGAGCCCAGCTCCCGGACTTCATCCCCCCGTAGCCTTCCCCCAGGGAAGGTGAAGTCGGAGCTGGCCAGCCCCACGCCGGGCTCCAGCCCTGTACCCAGCGAGCCAGGCTCAGGCACGGCGGGAGGCACCGTCTTCCTGCCGCAGTACCTGTTTGGCCATGAGGCTGCAACGGTGGTCCCGCAGGCATCGGAGATCCTAGCCAAAATGTCAGAGCTGGTGCACAGCCGGCTGAAGCAGGGCCATGGCACGGTGCCACCGGGACTGTTCACCGGAGCACCGGTGCCGAAAGGTGCGACGTGCTTCGAGTGCGAGATCACCTTCAACAACATCAACAACTACTACGTGCACAAGCGGCTCTACTGCTCCAGCCGCCACCTGGCCGAGGACAGCCCTCCCGGTGCCCGAAAGCTCAAAGTGCCCCCCGCAACCCCCAAGGGTCCTCCCGTCGCTGGGACGCTGCTGTCTGCTCCGCCGGGTGAAGGGCACAGCGCTCCGTCGGGGGACGGGGAAGTGGGGCGCGCAGCCACACCGCCCACCCAGCTGGAAGAAGGCAAAGCGGTGTCCCCGGGGACGGAAGTGGCAGCATCAGGGCGGTGCAGCGAGGACAGCCAGAGCCCCGTCAGCTCGGAGGGGGACGAGGACCCCAGCAAGACGCTGTGCGAGGCGTGCAACATCCGCTTCAGCCGCCACGAGACCTACGCCGTCCACAAGCGCTTCTACTGCGCCTCGCGCCACGACCCGCCGCTGCGCCGACCCGGCCTGCCCAAGGTGCCCTTCATCCCGCAGCCCCTCCGTACCCGCAAGCGCCGCAAGCTCTACGAGATCCACGGGGCTGAGCCGCCCCCACAGCCCGACCCTAAAGCCCCTGCGGCCGCCCCTTCGCCCAGCTCCAGCCCCGATGCTGAGGGCCCCATCGATCTGAGCAAGAAGCCGCGGCGGCGCGGCGGAGAGCAGAACGCAGCCACGTTGCTGCCGTTGGCCGACTACCACGAGTGCACGGCGTGCCGCCTCAGCTTTAACAGCCTGGACAGCTATCTGGCCCACAAGAAGTTCTCCTGCCCTGCCACCCCGCTGCAGCCCGGTGCCATGGAGCACCTCCAGAAGATCAAAGGGGCCGTGCCCAAGGGACACCGCGACGGCGAAGGGGACAAAACGGCCCCAACCGGCGCCGCCAAGGCTCTGCCACCCACCTACCCTGCAGTATCCATGGGGGATTTGCGGTACCCTAAAGGTGCCAAAGGGCCGCTTTCTGTCTGCCCCTACTGCCCTCTTAACGGGGCCATCAAGGGGGACCTCATTGAGCACTTCCGCCACGTCCATGGGCTCTTTGTGGCTGCGCATGGCCTCCCCGACACCCCACGGCCTGGGGGGGGCAGGACGCCCGAGCCCCCCGCCGCCTCACCCCCTCGCCCACCCGCCCCGCGCCTCCGCCGGGACAGCTTCAACGGCAAGGAGGCTCGCGATGCCCCCCCCAACGGCAGCCCCCGGCCCCCCATCTCCCCCCGGCCCCCCGCTGACAAGCCACCCACTCCGCCCTCCTATACAGACCGGGGGGTGCAGACCCCCCCGGCCAAGGCTGCCCCCAGCCCTGTGCCCAACGGCAACCACCGGTACTGTCGCCTGTGCAACATCAAATTCAGCAGCTTGTCCACCTTCATCGCCCACAAGAAGTATTACTGCTCGTCCCACGCAGCCGAGCACGTCAAGTAAAGGGCCCCCCCCCAGCTCTGATTGGCAGTTTGGGGTTGGGGGGGCTGTGTGGGAATGGTGTGGCTTGGGGGGGACACTGGGGGCCGACGTCCCGGTGATGGATGTGTATTTATAAAGCGACGCGGCACCATCCTCACTGCAGATGTGGGGTTGGGTCTCGATGATGGACCCCATGGGGGGCTTCCACAGCCCCTCCTCATCCCCAGAGCACCACATCTCTCTGCTCTGGGTGCTGACGTTCACCTCAAGTGGAAGGACCTCAGAGCACGGACCTGAAGCCGTGGTATGGGGAGAGGGGCTGCCCCCCCCAGCTCTGCAAAGCCCCCTCCATCTGCCCTACTGCTCCTCCCTACATAGTGCTGCAGGGAAACTAGGGCGGGGGGGGGCAGACACTACAGGGAAAGGGGGGCACAACCAGGCCCTGGAACAGGAGAGCACTGAAGTTGAGAATGAAGCAACCCTGGGAACTGTGTGTATAAGCGTGTACAGAAAATAAATATGTCTAATTACACTGGGTGCTGCCTCCATGCTGGAGGGAAGGGGGGCTGGGGTGCAGCCCCTGCCCAGGTGGTGCAGCAGGTGTGGGGATGGAGGCTGATAACTAATTGTCTGCTTAATGAAAGGAATGAGCTGCAGGTGGGCTGTGCTGCCCCACACCCAGTCCTGGGCTCTGCTGTGGGGTCCAATGCTGCAGTCTCAAAGCTGTGCTGGGAGCTGGGAGCCCCAGGTGAGTGTGGCTGGGATTCCTGCTGTACTGGGGAGGGCAGCTAGGGGCTTAGGGACACCGCAGAGAGCTGGGGTTCAGCCAGTATGAACCATTAAACCCTACAGAAAACCATTGCAACAGGAGCTTGTCTGAGTTAATGGGGTCCTCTTCCTACCATAACTCAGCATTTTTGAGCAGCTAAGGTGCAACTCAGGGGGGTGCACATACAGCACCCATTCCTCACCCAGGTTCTCTCCTCCCTGAAACTCTGCCCCCATTTTGGCACAGGTGGGCACTGATTTGCTCTCCCTTCTCCCACTCCTGCTAGAAACTGGCACCAGGCAGGCAGTGAGTGGTGCCACAGCTCCCCCAGGGCCTCTTGCAGCAGCAGCCCTTGCACCACAGCCTGGCACAGCCCCGTGCCAAATGGGGCAAGCAGCTGAACCCCCCCCTTCCACCCCAAACCCAGCCAGGGAGGGGAAAGGACACAGAGCAGCATTGCAAGAAGCACAGCTTTACTTAAATAAATATATTTACAAAGCAGCAGGCATCACAGAGAAGAGGCGGCTGCATCCAGCCAGCAGCATGCAGGGAGAGCTCTGGGTACTGACCTAGGGAGGGGCTCTGGGACCCCCAGGAAAGGACATGCCCCATCTCCTCACTGCAGCATCTTACTGGGGGGCAGCAGGGGGAGGCTGTGGGGCAGCTGCACACAGCTCTCCTCCTTGGGCTCCTCGGTGGCATCCAGCAGCTGCTGCATGTAGCAGGAGGTGCCCAGCAGCACATGCCCTGTGGCCTGCATGCTGAAGAGCATCCAGCGCAGCGCTTCCCTGGGTGGGGGTCAAAAAAACAAGAGTGAGCATCACTCCATGCACCTGTGTGTGCTGTGGCTGCCTTCCCAGCACTCACTTCATGAGCCTCTTGGCCCCATAGCAGCGCAGGTCATAGGACATGCTGTAGGTGCCGTAGAGCGTGGCTTTGACGTTGAGGCAGCCCAGGTCCTGCGGATTGGTCTTGTACAGGTCAAAAGTGACACAGGCGACATCGATGCGGCGGGATGGCTTGTGGGACAGGCTCAGCTGGTAGCCAGGTGCCTAAGGCACAGCAGGACCGAGAGTTGCCCAAGGAACCTTGTGCTGCCTCACCCAGCATCATCCTCATTGACCTCAGTGGGATGAAACGGGCTCCTACAGCCCACGCTCACCTTGCAGGCAGACCACGACTGCCCATTGCCCAGGGCCATCAGCACTGTGCCCTCCTCCAGCGTGCAGAAGAAAGCTTCTGTCTCCACCACAGTGCCGTCCTCATCCAGGACCAGCGTGATGGGGTCTGGGACCGGCAGGGTGCTCCGGACCTGCAATAGGGCTGCGGTGAGGAGATGGCCCATCAGATGGATGGGCCCCTGACAGATAGATGGACGGCTCACCTGGTGCAGCAGCTCGGCCAGGCTGTGTGCCATGATGCCTTTGCGCAGGCTGCGGTCGCAGTTGCAGACACGGAAGGGTCGGGGCCGTGGGGCCGGGCTGGAGAGGAGCAGCTGCTGGGTCATGGAAGCACTGGCGGAGACACATCTGGAGGGGGATGGGGAGGGTCAGGGGGCTTCCCAGAGCCACCGCCAGCCCTGGGCTTTCACTCAAAGTGCTGAGTGGTGTCAGAGCAGGGGGAGAAAGTGACGTCCCCTTCCTAGGGTCACCCCAAAGCTTACTTGGAGACAGGAGCAGCCAGGCGCAGGCTCAAGGACTTGGCATAATCCATGCTGGCACGGAACTGAGCCTGGCAGGGAGAAAGCTTCAGCCCAGGCAATGGCAGTGTTCAGCTCTGCGAACCCCTCAGGAGACCCCATCCCTATACCCCAATGGTACCCGCCCTGCTCAGCAGGGACAGCATCTGCCCTTTGAGCAGGAACAGGCTGGAAGCAATGGGCAGAGTCCTGCTGCCAGCACAGCTCTTGCGTAAAGCAGCGCATGGGCTCTGAGTCAGTGCTAGAGCAAAGGTTAGCAGAGGTGTAGGACTGTGCCCTGACCCCTTTAGGGGTCTGTAAGGGATTTAAGGCAGTCAGAGGCACTCACCCCAGCAAATATGACCCTAATGGTCTGTGGGCAGCCCCCATCCCCATCCCCATCCCCATCCCCATCCCCATCCCCATCCCCACTCACCTCCACCAAACACACACAATCTACACCCCACACATCCACGCTCACCTTATATAGCTGTCAGCTAAGGCTCCACCCCACACCCCTCCCACCTAAACCAACCCTCAACTCTGGCTGCTGACACAAGGGGTGGGACCAGTCCTGCCCAGCTGCTCCGCCTGCAGCTCTATTTGTAATGAGTGCGTAGTCTCAAGCAAGCATGCAAGCATTGTCCCAGCAATGCAACAAGCATTGTTGCAGCACCCCACATGCCTGGTGCTCACTTGCATATAGTTGTGCCTCTGTGTGTGTACGCGCACGCATTTTCCACTTCTTCTATATGTGTGCACGTATACATTTATTTCTGCGTGTGTGCATGAGCAGAAATACACATCAGTGTGCATACACATATTTCCATGCGTGCACACAACCGGCTCCGTGTGACACGTGCAGATCCAGATGTGGCATTCACACTCACGTACACATTCCGTGCTTACACATGTCTGCTTCTTTATGGTGTAAGCATCCACAAGCGTGCACACCTGGCTGCATGTGTCAGTGCGTAGAACTCTGCAACTCCATGCACATGTACGTGCATGCTTGGTTGTGCAGGCATGCATGTGTGCCCACGTGCATGAGCACACAGATGTATGCACGCATGTGTTCACACCTGCAGCTCTCCATGTGTAAATGCACAGGCATGCACCCATGCACGCGGGTGCAGATATCTACACGCATGTGCGCACTGCTACACGCCCGTGCCCCCCCTCCTCGCGCGCACGACTACGCACGCGCGCTCAGCACATTTCCCGCGCGCGGCCCCTTTAAGACGAGAGCTGCGCGGCCGCGCGCGCGTAACGCCGGGCAGCGCAGGCTCCGCCCCCTTTCTTCCCCTCCCCCCGCCCGAACGGCCGTCGCGCCCTGATGACGTCACGCCATGGCCGCCCTGCGCCGCCGCGAGTAGAGGCCCCGTCCCGTCCGCGCCGCCCGCGCCGGAGCCGCTGCCGCCGCCGCCCCCC